AGCATTATGTTTGTGCAAACACCATTACATACGTAATATCAGATTATTAATATTATCCCATTACATATGTTGAGTTCTGCATTCATTATCGCTCATTTTCTCTCAACTTTGATTGGACGCAATATTTCATGCTATCTGTTTATATGTTATTGTCATTTGTCCCATTTTCGTGTTATTAGAAATATTATATTTATTAACATCGATTGTTTTGTTTGTCTTTGGTCTACGGTCAGTCGAATGTGTCATTTAGGGGATCCGGGAAAATTAAATTCAATTAAATTCTAATTGAATTAATATTTACTTTTTTTTTTACTTTATCTATTCCGCTGATGATACGATAATACAAGGGAAGCAACCCTAAACCCTAGACAAGAATCCTTTAATGGAATGTTAATTGAGAAATAAAAAGGAATATCATCATACGGAATATATTGGTCCTAACCTGGCGATATCCATCCATACGATAATAACGTTTCGGGGTGGATCTATGATACTACTCATGAGTAGGGAAGTAAACATCAACAAAACCAGGATTACAAAAAAGGCCTGAAAACCAAGCTTGGAGAACAGCATGGCAAAAAGACAAAAAAGAAAAAGACAGATTGAAAAATCGCACAGATCAAAAAAATAAAGCTAAACAAACTAATATAGAACTCGGAGATGTCATACTACTTAAACAAAGTAAACACAACAAGCTAACGCCAGTTTACCACCCAACACCATGGAGAGTAAAAGAATGCAGAGGCGAATCTGCAATTATAACATGAGGTGACAAACTTATTTTACGACACACATCACAGATGAAAAGAATCCCCGAAGACAGGACTCGCCAACAACTAAGGGATGACAACTTCCCTTTCAACGGCGACCTTGGGGAGCAGAAAGATATATAACATGAGAGATAAAGCGAGGAGGAGAAGGAAGAAGCAGATATCCCTATAGCCCTAAGACGACCAAAACGCCATATAAGAAAACCCCGAAGGTATGCAGGCAGCAGTTCGGAAGAAGAGGGAAACAATCTGAATACAAAGGACGGAGCAGATGTGATGTCTGCACGAGTATAAATAGAACCCGCTCGGTTGAGGGGGGAAACTCTTCAGTGTACAGCAAAGGACCCAATCTCTCACCCATCTATCCTGTCCATCCAATGTAGCCAAACTTAAACATTTCTTTTTGTTCACTTAAAGAGTTGTTTAGATGCTTTCAAGTTTTTAGCAAATATTCTTAATATTTTGTATTTTTTATTTTTACATTTACAACAGCAGCTTCTCCAGATATTTTCTTGCTGGTCAATTCAATTTTCTTTTTGTGACATTCTGTTTTTTCCCTTGCTAATTTTTCAATTTAATTTTTGATTGTTGATTTCTTGTTGTAAACGTTTTTTTGCGGTTTTCAATGTTGTGTTACTATGAGTTAATAACTTTACAATATCTTGTTTTTCTTTTGAAATCTTTCTTAAGACTCATGGTAATCTATATTTGGAACTAAAAAATAAGTATCAATAACTAAACTATTATATTTATTTGCAATATATTCAATAACCATAATAATATCTGTCATCATCAAGTTATTGTAAATATTTCAACTAAAAAGAAGGCTAAATTGAAATTCATGTAGTATATACATAAATACAAATGCATTCTGAAAATTTTACCAACATTAATTGATTTGCATAATGTTATATTAAATGTTTGGTAGTGAGAAAAAGGAATAACAAATAATAGATTTGAACAATGTTTATTGTTGGTAGAGAGTACAGAGACATTGAAGGCTGGAATCTCAGTTTCAGTTGCCAGTTGGGTGTGAGGATAGCACCCGATGCTGATCTGGATGTGGTCAAAGGATATGGTCAGTGCACGCTTGGTTGATCAAGTTCACGGTGGTAGGTTGTTTCATTGGTTAGTATACCTGTGGTGTTGAACTGAGGTGATGTTAGATTGGCATGATGTTAGATTGGCCTGTTCTGTGGAATGGAGGTTGCAGTGTCAACTGTGAAGGGAATGCCTTGTAGATGAGTTGAGGTAGACCGAAGTGATGGCAGGGGTTATCGATGAAGGCTTGTAGCTGGGAGGAATTGAGGTTGAGATATTTCAAGTTGAAGCTGGATAGCCGAGGTAGTTGGTCAAGCCAAGAAGTAGTAACTATCGTTGAGAGGTGCAGTCATGTTCAGTGGTGGCGATAAAGGCAGCAACGGTCGCAGAAGCAGTGCTCTGCATGACAGCCAGGCCACAACTCTGTTGTCATGGTGATGAGGTCGTGGTGGCGGTAGCAACAGCCACACCAGACCACAACTGTCCTGGTCGTTCTCAGAGGTTTACTTTTAAGCAGGTCTGGTAGTCTTCAGGGGCTTCTCTTGTGGGAACAATCGCGATTGGCCACCACTGGAGCTCACTTCGTAGACTGGATGTAATGCGGGGAGCCTAATGCACAGAAAACAGCTTTTGTTATTTCATTTTCTGCCTTTGTGACATTCACATCTGGCCAGTGTGCAGACTGAATCAGAATGAGATCTAATTGCAATGGAATATAACAATAATAAAATCTGACATGGTGTAAAGCTTTTAACCATCAAACCACTACTCCAAATATGACTTTGACTTTAATAAAATCTTACCGAAATCACAAGTGAAGTTTTCTTTCCTTCATTTATGACTCTGTTAGCATAATCAATGTTTGCTGAACATAATTATGTCCCAAATTGTTATTGGATCCACTCCTTTCTGCAAAAATTAAATTATAATTATGCAATATATGTTTTGTGAATCTAAGCTAGCAAGAAATGTATCTTTTTGGTGAAGAGAAAACTCAAGTAAATCAAGAGAAAAGACATAAGAGTAATTCTGAAAAGCATAATTGTAGGTCATTAATCAGAAAGTGTACTTTAATCATAATATTCTGGATCATGTATATAAATATTGAAGTATTAAGAAAATTAATCACACTTTTTAGTTAACATTTATTGGATAACTTTATTTTCATTCATTGTGATAGAGCAATCTACTTATTATTTTGATTCACTATTAGTATACATATACTAATGAGCTAAAACATTATGACCACCACAAGTGGTATAAATAAGAACTAGTGTCTCAACATCTGAATATGTCAGGGCCAAAAGTCTATAAGCAGATAAACTGGTTTTGACTATTTTATTGTATTGTATTGAAATTGAATGCTGCAGTCATGAACAAAAATAAAAGATTTGAGTAACATTGATAAAGGTTAAATTATAGCTGAAAGTGGGTGCTCACATTCAGTTATAGTGAATACATAGTGGTATTAGCCTGAGGAGAGAATCAACCAATCACTGACAAGGCATTAGGTAGCCAAAACATATTGATATGAGAAGGGAACAGAAGTTTTCCTGTCAAGTATGAGCCAACAGAAGGGCTACTACAGCACAAATTGCAGATAACTTTCATTACAGTGAAGGAAAGAATTAATCACAACACACAATATATCAATCCATGTTGCATATAGGGACTACATAACTGCAAGCCAATCAGAACACCTATTGCTGAAAGTATCTTTAATAGGAGGCATGGTGGAGTAATGGATAGCGGCTTGGATTGAGGAATTGGAAAGCTGAGTTCACTTATTTGCTAATACCCTTGGGAAAGGTATGAATCCTCTTCTTCTCCTCCCAGCTATGGGTAAATAGCAGGACAGACTGGATTCTTTAGCCTTGGGTGGCAACTGGTCTAGGAGAAAGTAACTCTGAATTCAAAACTGTATGTAGCCCTTGCATAGCATATACTATACAGCTAAAGAAAGGATCATTCGCATTGGCTCAATGATCCCAACTGCAGTCAACAAATGATGGTGATGATGATTTAATGGTTAAGCAAAGCATTAAGACTGGATCGTTTATCAATGGAAGAAGGTTGCTTGGTCTGATGTGTTTTGTTTTCTCTTAAATAAACTTAACAGAAGAGTACACATGTATTGTTTTTCTGGGGAAAGTGATGTAAACTAGATGCACTGTAGCAAGACAATGGTAGAGGTAGTTTGATGGTTTGAACATCATTCTGCTGGGAAACTCTTGTCACATTTAATCTACCTCAACAACATTGAAGACTACGTATACTTGTTTTGTTTCCCTGAAGAATACACTAGGTATACTTCATGGTAGCTATAATGGTAGTGGCATCTTTCAGCAGGACAATATGTCTTGCCATATTGCCCAAGTTGTACAGGAATGGTTTCAGGAACTTGAAATAAACATTGAACATTTATAGGGTGTGTACCAACAAGATGGTGCTGCAGAACTTCCATCATGTAAATTGCAGCAATAAGAAGACCTATTAACATCCTGGCATTAGATCCCAGAGGATCCTTTTGAAGTTTTATAGAGTCTCTGCCTGATTGGGTAAGAGCTGTTTTGTGAACACAAGGAAGACAAACACCATATTAGGCGTCATATTATTTTAGCTCATCAGGGTATAAGCTTGACATTGGCAGAGTGTCAAAAAAGTAAGAAAGATTAAACCTTCTCTACTAACAAATGGTCTGGAAAACTAGCTTGCTCATTTTATGCCAGGCACCCCAACCCAGTTGTGTCCTCTGTGAAGATTGAACTCCCTACTTATGCTAATAATCACTCTATACAAGATCTTTATTAAAATATTGACCAGATATGTATGACTATTTGAGATCCCATCTTAGTCATTACTATATTTTTTATATAGGAAACAAAAAAAACCTTCATTTGAAGAGTTCTATTCCTAAATAGTTTACTTATAAAATCCTTGAAATAACAATAGAGCACATATTCTAAAAAACCCTAAAAGAAATGATTTGGTGAATACTCCAGTCCAGAGAATAGATCAGTACATCTTATTTAGATGAATGAAAACTTAGAAGCTGGCATAAGGATACTTACTCTTAACAATTTTGCAAAATATTTAATAACCAATCAGCTATTAATCATGTTTTCTTAATTTTTAATTTAGGATGAACAGCAATACTAAAATCATTGTTAAAAACTGCTTTCTCTTTAGGGTGGCCTGGCAGCACTAACCAAAGGTCAACCACTCAATGTTGTCTATGGTTCTCAGATAACCCTTCGATTCTCTAACAATCAGTCTCCTAGTCGACCTTGTTGGCTGCATTCACATCCTCATGTTTATCCAATACGATACCCTGATGGTCGTGGCAGCAGCCATCAGCAGCAAGTAACATGTTATATCTTCAAAGATTTGTATAACTGGTGGATTATCAAGCATCCAAACAGGTTGGTGTGACTCTGCAATTGTTAGTTACTTCCAAAAGTCCAATTCTTTTTAAAACATCAAATTGAATATTTATGTCCATAATTGCAAATGTTACTTTTATGTTTTTTTATTAGTACTCCTACATTATTATATTACAGTGTACAACAATAAAACTGATATTTTTAAATAAAATTTCAAATGTAATTGACTTTATAATTGATCATATTTTTATAAATTGAATAAATACAAAATCATATTTTCTTTGGTTAAATAGTAGAAGTGAAGATAGGTAAGGAAATCAAAATTGGTTGCTAAGTTTTTAAAGATCTTAGTTTTATTGTTTGTTTTTATGAGGAGGAACATTTGAAACTTTTTTCATGTTTTCTGTGCTTTGTTTTGCAAGTGCAAAGTTGTATAACATTTGTTATAATGGAAAAAAATTATTGAACAGTTTGAATTTTGGCTGAGACTGATTATTTTCATATTGAACCTGGTGTGCTTAAAAGCATGAATCCTACACTGCACCATGAACATACCAAGATGGTTGATGGAGAAGAGTAATCAGTTGAGAAAACCACTCTCCCACACTTTAATATGCCCAGAGCTTCTCACTTCCCTTATCATGAATAAGTTAAATGAGATTTGTTTCAAACTTGTCTTGTAGAATGCAACTGCCAAAACTAAAATATTTGCTTTGAAGATAATTGTTAGAAATCAAGTCTTTCCATTTTGGTAAAATTTATCAATTTTAAAAACTAAAATCATTTGTTTTTTTTGTCCTTTTAGCAATACATTGATGGTCAGTGACCCTCCCCAACCTGTAAAACATGGTGATTTAATTCAATTAGTCCATGGTTTGACTGGACGGGCACTTAACAGGTATGTAGTTGTTCTAACTTGAAGAAATTGTAAACAAAAATATTTTGCAAATTAATTAGTTTGTAAATAGGATATTGATATGTTTAAAGGATTTTCTAGTGATCTTATTTTTCATGTTCTTGCTTCCAACTCTGAAAGGAATTAATTTATCTATTTTTTAAATGTTTTATGTGATTTGTTTCAAAGCACAAAATAATTAAAAAAAAAATATGACAATCAAAATCAGCAGGACGGTTTGTTTTGAAAATTTGTTTTTAACACTATTTTTTTATACTTAAATTAAAAAGTAGTGTTAAAAACTAAATCTGATTTAATTACTTTTTCTTTGAATCTGATCAATCTTTAGAAACAAATATGAGAAAATTTTTATTTTGAAATTCAATCAAAATATCTAAATTGTTAAATTTCAAGTAAGCCTATCTTATTTGAAATTTATATTAGTTTGTTAATTCTGTACTTTTGGCTATTCTTTCAAAATAAATTATATTCATTTTGGTAATTGTAAAAATAAGAACAAATTTGAAAATTTTTTTTTTTTTAATGAATTTCAATTTGACAGCTATTTAAAAAAAAAACATTGTCACTTTAAGACACATTGTGGCTTGAATGGCAAACTACTTTTTTTTGCTTCCAGTTAGTAAATGGAACTGTAAATATTTACCAAACCAGACTGAACTTTTATTGACATGAGTGATATTTTTCCAGCCATGATGTTGCTGCTCCCATGAGCCCTCAGAACCAAGAAGTTTCTTGTTACATTGACTACAATGTTTCTATGGCTGCACAGAATCTTTGGAAAGTGGTAAGGACAATGTTAATGGAAGAGAATTTCAAAACGTTCCTCTATCATTAGTATTATCAAATTCCATGTCAGAATTTCTTTTAAAAAACATCTGCACTTGTTTCAACCAAGAACATATATTTGCTCCATGCACTGATTATTTCCTGAATAAAGTATTTTGAACTTCAAAAAAATAATTAAATCAAAACAATTACCTATAAAAATAAAGCAGCGCAATATAATTATAAAAATTCAGTTTTGTTTTCAAGAAGTTATTTTAAAATCATAATCTGCAATACTGTATAATGCATTGTTAATACTCAGTTTTTTCTATTTGTTTTTTCTTTTTGTTTAGTATCAAGTTTTAGAAATCTTATACATTATGCAGAATTTGCAGAATATTAAAACAAATAACAACAAATAATTTTAGAATTTACTTTATTTTCACTCAAATGATTTTGAACAATTTCCAATTTTTTTGATCCAATCCTAATTTTTGGTTTCTTCTCAGGAATTAATCAATCGTAATTCTAATGAGGAAAATTGGCAAACTATCAAGAGTTTTGTACGACTTCATCATGTCAGTACAAGCCAAGCACTAAAGGTGAGCAAAACATAGAAACTATTGTCTTATAAAAACTTTTTTTTTTTTGGTCTAAGGTCATTTGTATGAGACTATGAAAATGTTACAATTATATGTTGTTGATTTATTTAAATTAGCTGCTATCACATAGCTTTTAAAACCATACAGATTGATACTATTAGCTGGCAAAAACTTTGCAACAGTTATGATGTCTAACTTAAAATATTCAAAGGAGAAATTAATAGTGAAAGTTAATAGTTACTGCAAATTATAGAAAATGAAGGTTGAAGAACAGAAAGGACTTCATTAACAGCAAATATAAATTGCTGAACCAATCATATATGTTCAGTAGATATAATCAGTCAATTGATAAGACTACATAACTCGATCTGCTTTGGTGCATGAAAAATTAAAGATGGCTCGTGTCAAAGTTGACCATGTGAAAGGATTGATCCTTTCACATGGTCAAATTTGACATGAGCCTATTCACCAATGTTTCAAGGGAAGCAAAATCTGATGTAGCATTTGATGGCTGTACAAATGTCCCAATAAACATGGCTTTGAGATCGACATTGTCTCCAGTGATAACAAAGAACATATGTGGAGTACTTTTAGGAACTGATTTTAAGCATAACACCATTTGAACCTAACCATCTGGCTAAGATACATAGGTAACCCCTTTATAGTCTGGCCTCACCAGAAAGATAAGCAATTATTCTGTGAATTCTATAAGATTCTCATCATAGTTCACAAAAGAAAGAACCGGCAACTTTGCTTTCTTGGACGAACTAATATTTTGTACAGAGAAGACAATTGGAAACGGGCTACTGTATCTCTACCCTATATTAGAGGCACATCAGAAAAGATCCAGAAGACCTGTGGTTTATACAATATCAGGAAAGTATTCAAAAATAGTTCCACTATAATGTGCAATATTCCAAACAGTTATGGCTGGTAATGCAAGCCTTGCAAAACATTGAAAAGCTGTAATTCATAAAGAGATTTTGAAATTAGTCACGGTTGGACAAGAGACTTTGAGAGATACAGTTAATCATGCATGAAGAAAACAGAAGGCACACCAAGCCCAATGGAAAAAAAACATGTAAGGATCTGTGTACATGCTCAAATCAATAGCGTAGCATATCAGTGCTACATAGAAGATACTAATTAAGAAAAAACACGTAGAAGTATGGCTAAGAAAAAAAAATCATTACTTGCATATCCTGTTAGGCTAGTAAATAAAAGTGCTGATAAAGCTTGTCTGGTTTCCTGGAAGTAGTGAGTTCAATCCCTGGGTCAGTGGTAGATCAGCATAATAAAGAAGTATTGACAAATATGGGCTCAAAAATTACCTATAACATGATGGGAGAGGAATCAGAATAAAATATCTCCATAGATAAAGAAAGGATCTTGTTTGATATTCTTGTAAACTTGCCAAATGCAGCACAGAGTAAACCAGAGAAGATGGATTCTAAAACTGAGGCGAATGAAGAAAATAGTAACCAGCGAGTAAATTCAAGCTCTCCCAGCTGGTATTTCAACCTTGAGTCGTTCCTTCTTGAGTTCTGTCTCCAAATCACACTAACTGCCGGTTCTTGCCGTCAACCGTGAACGTCCCTCGAAGAACTCCCAGACTCGGAAAAAAGTAGTTGTTTTTATAGTTGTTCATGTACCCATAATCCCTTGCGCCTTCATGTGATCCCATAATTCATTGCGTCCATGTCCCATAATGCATTGCATCGTTATTGCATAAAAATGTGATGCCAGTCCCCCCTCATTCTTTTACGTTATCTGGCCGAGGATGGATTACGGCAGAGCGGTAAGTGCTTTTTTCTCTCCCTCATTTCAACTGCAGTAGCTTTACATGCTAAGCAAATACGGGCTCTTTTTTGGCAGGGACAAGGCAAGTCGCGACCAGTTGTGCTCGTCCGAGGTTCTGTCTCATGTCCGCCACAAAAACATTACACAAAAACTAAAGAGGAAGAACCTAATCCAAATGAATAAATGTTTAATAGTAATAACACCTTTTCTCATAAATGTAGATAAAAGGAAAACATTATGAAAGCTTGAGAGTATGTAATTATTACTCATTTTTTATATAATTGCTAATATATAATCTGTCTGAAGTTATGCAAGTCATATAAACTTCAATAACTTGAAGTTGTTTTTCGTCTTTCTTGACTCACTCAATTCCAGCCTGTTCAAAGATTTGAGCATTGATCAAAAGTGGTTGTTTTGCTAAAAATTGCTTTTCTTCACATTCCCCTAGAGGAGACAATTAAAGCCTTTTTCTTTGCTTCTAGTTCTAAACTTAGTTATATTTTCAATGGTCCTCTTTATCATTCAATCTCCAATGTGGATGTTACCTCACTCAATAAATTTATATTCTGTTATTCACCATTTATTAGATCTTTCCATTACCCATGTAGAGATTTATGTGATTTGCATAATAACTTCAGATAGACTATATGCCCAAAATATCTTGTATAAGTAAGAAATTTTTTTTTAATATTGTCTAATATACAAATTTGTTTTGCACCTACTTTTTTTTTGTATATGATTTTAAAAGCAAATAATTAAGAAGAATTTGTATAATTAAATTTTCTGTCTTTTTAATTTTTATAATAAAGCTCCTGGAATATCTTAATTTTTTAATTAAAAGGAACAGATACTATATTTATTCCAGATAACACGCAAACATTTCCCTTAGCCTCTGTTCTATTCATTTTTTTTATAGCATCACAGCCATGTCTATGCTAAACTGCCAATGATGCTTTTCAACTTTCTAGCTGATTTCTTGTTTTAAAATGGGTGGAGACAAACTATCAAAATTCATATATTTCCAAATAACCTTGATTTAATTCAGGACATTTCATTTGCAAAATATTTACTTCATGAAAGTGAGTGAAAAATACTAATACCTAACTGCTATAACAACATCAATAATATTGATTATCATAATGATTGTTAGCACTTCCTGTCCCACTAGGGAATGCCGGGATTAAGAAATAAGTTAAGTTTAGCACATCTCGTGTCCTTTTTGTGTTGCTTCAACTTTTCAGTGGCCAGTCCCCTGTAACTTACCATGTTCCACTGCACTTAAGGTGAAAAGATATTAGAGAGAGATTCTTTCTAAAATAAGAAAATTATTTTCTAGAAGATCAGGATCCAACTAGAAAAAGAAAGAAAAAAATGTTCAAATTAACTACACAAGAGCCATTTAATTTTACAAACCTGGGAAATTGTCAGAAATGATCAGAGATTTCAATGCTTTTGAGAAGCATTTAACTTTGGGAAGAAGATAACAAAACTCAAATAAGTATATTAATATGTTGCATGGGAAGTGAAGCCGAAAATATATTGTAGGCATTTTCTTTCTCATGACAACAATATGTACAACTCAGTTTTGTAAAAATTCAATGCCTACTTCATGCCTAAAAGAAATATAATTCATGAAAGGGCAAAGTCTTATCTTAGGGTTCAATTACCAGGAGAACCAGTGGAAACCTTTATTCATGCATTACACCAATTAGCAGAAGCATGTGAGTTTCCAAAGAAAAATGACCAAATTAGAGACTGTCTTGTGATAGGACTAAGAATAAAGATATATCCGAATGATTACAATTAATTTTTGATTTGAAACTCAAGAAACTATGGAGATAGCCAGAAGCAGTGAATAAATAAAAATCTCAAATGGAAGAAATCAACAATAAAAATGTGGATGAACTAAAAAGCCAGAGAATCAGATGAGAAAAAAGAAAATGTGAAACAGCAACAAAAACTGCAGTAGATGTAACAAAAATCATGATTTTACAAACTGTCCAGCAAAAGGTAAACACTGCAAGAAATGCAGGAAAATGAATAATTTTGCTGTTGCCTGCAGAACTAAAACTAATACAATACAGGCAGTAAATGAAGAAAAGAAATATTTCCTAGCAGAGTGAACAGAAACAGATTTAAATGACCCATAGTATAAAAATTAAAAAAATTTGTAAAACAGTGGTGAGGTTTAAAATCGACACAGGTGTTGACGTAAAAATTACCTCAACTGAAACTTACAAAAACTTATTATAACCAATAAATGGCCATCTTCACAAGTCCTGGAGGAATGCATTGGAAAATTTAATACAGACGAAAGTAAGGACAAATATTATTTGGAGATGTATGTCATTAAATGTGTAATGGGAGAGAACTTATTGTCTAGATAAATGGCTGTAAAAATGAATTTAATAAAACATTTAGACAAAATAGAACAGGGAACTTCATTTGATGCTGGAGGGTGTATAAATAGAGACACAGTTAAAATAGTTCTGAAAAAAGATGCTTTACTCTACTGTGTGACAACAGTTAGGAGAGTCCCATTCCTTTTTTACCAAACTTGAAGGAAGAATTGAATAGACTGGAAAATGAGGCAATTATTGAAAATGTTGCAGAACCAACTGATTGACATGCACCTGATGAGTTAGGAGCCATGGTTAAATGAAATAACAGAAGTGTCCAACAAACAGAATTAACAAAGTTTGCAAAAAAGGGCAAAAATGACATAATATCAAGCAAGCAAGCAAACAATATATGCAAAGCAAATTTACAGGTAAGAAAGCAAAAAGTTTACAAATTATGAATTGGTGTCTATGCACAAAAGCAAGGTCAGAGAAGTGAATACAATGGTCTGTCTTGTAGACAACTTTGGACTGACTCAAGTCAAATTGTAAAATGTATTTTATTGACCAAGTAAAATATCCCATCATGCATTTGTGGAATTCTGCCTATAAAAGGGGATGGGGGAAATGTTTACAGTCATTCCTGCTAAGATTATATGTAGGACTGAGATGTAATGGATAAGTTCTTGTGGTGAGTGGGTATATTGTAATGAATGAATGGCTCGTGATCATGGTTGACTAGGATAGTCAGTGTATACTGGCTTTTCCCCACTTCCCCTTCGGCTTTGTGCCATAATTCTGTATTTTTATGTGGAATAAATTTACCTTGCTGCTAAGATTGAAATCAACAGCACCTATATTACCTGTATTAAAAAACAAAAACAGGATAATGAAGAAGCTGAATCTAGCAGTGAAAAGGGAACATTACTTGTTACCCAATTTAAATGATATTTCACCTAAACTAAATGAAGCTCAAATTTTTTCTAAATTGGATGTTACCAGCAGATTCTACAACATACCAGATCTACAGTAGTTAGCATTTATGGTCTTGGAGCAGCTCTATTTCAAGAAATAGATGACAAATTTAAAATAATAGCATTTGCCTCATGTATGCTCAGTAGAACTGAGAAGAAATACATATGAATCAGTTAGAGAGACAAACTTAAAAAAAAGCAGAATGGAAAAGAATGTTTGATTTCACAAAGTGAAAGAGTTATTGCCTTTGGACTGTAACTAAAACAAACTTTCATTTGTAATTAATTTGTAATTTGGAAAAGTTAAAAATAAATTAAGAAAGAAAATAAACTACCCTAGGAAGGGGATATTATAACAACATCAATAATGTTGATTGTATAATGATTGTAACACTAGGAAATGCTGAGATAAGACAGATTCAGCAGGCAGTTTGAATAAATAAGTAATAAGTTTACCACATCTTTGACTTTTCAGCAACCAGCCTCATAATTTATTTTTTCACCCTAAGCCTAGAGGAACAGTAATGACACCCAAGGAACAAGATAAACTTACTAGTTAATTATATAATAAAAATAAGAACCTTGATTTTTGATTCTTATGATTTCCACACCTTTTGATACTAAATTTAAAACTCATTTTCTTGAATTTGAAAACTTTTTTTTTTTTTTTTTTTGATTTCAGGCAAACAGCTTCCTGAATGGGGATTCCACCAATTGGAAGTTGTCACTGATCATCTTACTGATCAGACGCACACAATTTGGAATGTTGAAGAACATCGCTACACTAGATGTAAGTTACAAACTTTTGTAATGCCTAGTTATCTTAAACCGCTTATTTTTATTCAAGCAAATATATTCATGATTGAAAATCAGAAATAAAGAGCTGTTCAAGAAAAATATTGTTTTAATCTATCGATAACATCATTGCTAATATTTACATTACTTTGGTGATTTTAAGCTATTGTAAATCTCAAATAATTATCAGCGTATTTTGCTTGTTTTGTTTTGTATTTTCTACAGACTAGACATTGGCTGTATTGGAGTCATTTCCCTGTTTAATTATGTCTTGTAGCAGGAATTCTGAATGACAGAGGAAGATGCAATTTCATAAAAATGGCCATGTAAAAGCTTTCTGCCATCTTTTGTAAACCAAACCAGATATAGTGTTTTAAAAACAGAAAAATGCATATAATGAAATTATTGCATAATATTCATTTCAAGAAATTACTATACATTATTAACAATTTATGTGGCTTCCGTTAGTATGAATAATTACTTCAGTGTCCCTGGAAGAGATGTGTAGAAATCCTTCAACATCTTCAGAAGTATGAGATGCATTTCTATGTAACTGAGCTTCCATAACTCTTTAAGATTGTATGGATTCTTCTGACAAACTCTTCTCTTAAAGAGATTTCTTTATTAAAAAAATGTAGACATAACTAACGTTCTGTCCACATTTTCTTGATATTTAAGTCAAGGCTCTGAACTAGCCAATCTTTCAATACAGTGGCACCTTTATCAGCCAGGCTCTGTTTTATACATTTTGTAACATATGTTAAATCATGTTAAAAAAATTTTACCTTCATCCAAGTCTGGCATTAAATGATTCTTCAGCAACTGCATGTATTTGACACTATTCAAACTAACATCAATTTCAACTAACTTTCTTGAGAAACCACTTTTATGTCTCTCTAAAACATCAGACTCTTATCCCCAAATTTTAGTGTTCTTTTGATTTGCTGGATGCCTGATAAATTCTCACTTATTAAAATGCAGCTCTATCATAGTTTCATTGCTGAATGTGATTTTATTCCAAGCATCTACATCTTATAGTTTATATCTTAATCTCACCTTCAAATATGTTTTGTTTAGTGCTGGTTTCAAAATGCTGAAATGCACCCTTTCAATCTATGTTCTTGAAAGATGCCCTTAGTGGTATCTACTGATACTAAATTGGACAAATTGCACTTGCATTTTTTTTTTTGCTGAACTTTTACTGCTTTAATCAGTTTCCATACCATCCTGTGCTACAGCTTTCAAAAGCAGCCACATCTTGGCCAATTGAAAACACTTCCAGTACTTTGAAACTTTGAAAAATTTCCGAAATGTTACTTCTTCAAATTGATTTCTTTAACTTTTTTTCAATGGCCATCATCACTATATTCATCTTGTGTTTTTTTGTTTTGTTTTTTTTTCTTTAGTGGTCAGGTGACAGAAAACTTTCCATGGCCATTTTTGGGGGTTGGCTCACCTATCCACTCTCATTCAGAGTCTGCTATAAAATATAATAATTAGTAGAGAGCGCAATTATTACAAATTTACAACAATAATGGTTGAAAACTTTAGCACACTATAAGAGTGAAAGTGACTTCCATGAAAGCCAGGTTGAGAGAAAATCCAGTGTGAAACTGAGCTAGTATGATGACTGTAACTTCTTTGATTTCTCAGACATCTCGACAAGATCAGACTCTTGGAATTGTATCATATATCACTTGAAATACTTTTTAACCAGTGTTGGAATAGTATAGAAATAAATTTAGTTATACATTTGTTAACATATATAACATTTTTATTTGATTCTTGTCTTAAGTAGGACTTCAGAAAAAGATTCTATTAAGAAATAATTTTACACATTTGTTGGTTCAGGGTAATTTATGAAATGAACTATTAATTATTAAAATGCTCTTTTCACAATAAAGAACAAAAATCTTTTGTGATTGTTTACATTTTTATTGACCAGCAATTTGTTTCCTTTTCTGAAAATGCTTTTTTTCTACTGACAATTACTGTGTAATTATAAACATGTTTGAAATTATTGCAAAAGTTTTGAATATACACACTAAATGCTGTTTTATTTTTAACACTAGAGTATAGTACTACAGCAAATGTTCAAGTAGTATATCGACTAGCAGTATGGATAACGGAATCCATAAGCTGAATTCAAATTCTGGTCTCGTCATTCATTTTTGCACTTGTATCCATTTCTTCAGCAGGACAGACTAGGCTCTTCCCTTATGTAGCAGCCAATTCAGATGAAGGATGACTCTAAATTCAATACCATTGAGAAGACAATGGAAAACCATTCTCTTATTTTTCCCATGAAGTAATGGCATTTCACAGAGATTAAAGTGAAGGAATCTGTAGAGAGATTGCTTGTGTCCTGAAGCAGCATGACATTAAAAAAAAATACTGTTAACATTATTATACACTGATCTATTTAGACTAGTGCTTTCATCTTATAGTTATGAAATCACAATATTTTTGCCAATTATATCTTCCAACCTTTTTCAAATGTTTATTGTATGCTTCTAGGAACAAGTGATAGGAACAGATTGTTCTCATTCTGCTGTCCATGTTAGAGGATAGAAGTAAATTCTTAGTTTTTCTGTCACTTTTCTGAGATTGAATTGATGATTATTAAGTAAATAAACACATTTAAGGTCATTGTCACATAGAACAATCAAGTGGTAGAATATTGGAGCTTTAAACTTAATGGCAGTTCTTCAGCAAATATTTCCATCATCTGTCTATATTTCTGAGATGAGGTATTATAACTATTTACACTATTTACAGTCTGAACAATGTAAATAATGTAAATAAATATTTCCATATAGTGATATTTCTATAAAATACTTCGAGAAAATGCCTTTAAGAATTTTATTGCAACCAAAAATCTGGCTGAGATGTAGAGATGCTACATTATACTCTGGACTCACCAAGAAGATGTGTAAGTACTACTAGTCCATGTGTACTTAATAAGAACTTCATACAGTTCACAATAGAAAAGTTAATATAGAATAACATGAGTTTTCTTAATGTACTAATAATTTGCAGCAAACAGGGATTGAAAGTATTTGTATATCATAAACCAGTATTCATTAGACAAAACTTGAACTTTGTTTACCTTCACCTATACAGACCAAAGAAAGAGGTTAGCTGTTGTCTATCCAGCAAAGAGGAGGTACATTGGTGAAAGGCAATAATTGAAAAACTGACAGAATATGTCAAAGCATTCAGAGGATCCACTGTTCATACAATATTAGTACGGACTCATCCGAATAGATCAGTGTATAATTGTGATAATCAGAAAATGTTAAATGGAAATAACAAGATTCTATTTATCATTTTCACTTATTTCAGTTTTAATTTTTTAACGTTTTTTTTAATTGAATGATCATTTCAGAAACACATAAGTTTTATATTTTAAGAATATTTTTATGCAAAACTTGTTCATAGAATATTTACTATTGCAGTGAAATTTCATAAAAGCAAAGTGTAGAGTTCAGCTAAAATTTTGTCCTGACAACTTGAAGAAAAGTATTGAAACATATACATTCTATTTTCTATAAAATTTTGTGTTTTGTTCAGCTCCTGAGAAAGAAGGTCAAGCTCGAGAATTGAGCCAAGCTGAAATGATCCCATCAGAGCCAACACATCTTTCTTTGTGGGCCAAATTTTGTGAATTGCAGGTTTGTCAATGTTTATTACTTTTACAAATTTTTATTCTTCAAACGAAGATTCCTAAATATTTATGAACCAACAGAGTATTTATTGCTCATTTTAACCTTGTGAAAGAGGAAATACTCAATCTATACAGAATTATTAGATTTTATTTTTTCAAGTGTTTGATGCATAGATTTTTCATTTTAACCTAAATTACATTTTTAAAATTCTATTTAATGGATGTATTTAGATTATATCTTCAACTTGTCTTTTGAGGTATCAAAAATATTTTGGCAAATATTTACAAGAATAATTTTATATTTATAACATTCTAAAAACTAATACAATTAGAACTAATGCAATATTTATCACTTACTGATTTATAAAGAATTAAAACTGAAAACAATTTTTTTATTCATAAATTTATAAGCCTATACTAAATTATTAAAATATGTGAACCATATATAACGATATCTTTATTATTTACCATTTTATAAAGTTTGAATCAATTGGAAATTAGCCAATGTTTTGCCAACCATTCCAATATAAATAGTGTAAATAAACAATCTGATAAATAGTGTTTATTATTTTTGTTGTCAATTCTCAAAAACAAAGAAAATATGTAAATTCACCTTCAATTGTTTAGTTTTATTCCAATTCTAATCATCCTTTTTAAAACAATAAACAATGTCAAAGAGTGAAGTAGTTAAAAAAAGGCAGGCATGTTTATCCATGTTTGCCAATATTTTCTTCAGTGTATGAAAGCAACACTATTTTTTGTTCCCATCAAAAATCATTTTCTGATTTGTAAATTCATATTGCAAAAAAAATGAATTCTTTCTTGACAATTTTAAATCTGTTGAGATTTTCATGCATTGATAAATGTCAATTCAAAATATTATATTTCCATTGTTTATTTCACTTATATTCAAATTTCCCTTTTAATATGATTACTATATGTATTTTTAACTGAATATTTACAATTTTGAACAGTTAATATCCTGTTGTAGATGGGTTTGTTTAGAAATTGACTTTGATTCAAACCTGGAGTGATCTATGACTTTTTTTTTCCCATGTAATAACAGGTTATCTGTTTGTCAGATTATTGGAATGAAATGTTTGCCATATTGGCTTATATGACTGCCTAATGAAAACTGATTGTATATCTGATATTATCATATATTTCTTTTTTTTTTTGCTATCATTGTTAGTGATGGTAGGTAGGTTAAACTTCTTATTTAAAGTTTTGTAATGGCCATATGTCTTGTGTTGATAGAGCTACAATTAAAGATTTTATTTTGGTTGTATAACAAAGTGATCTATATGCAACAGAATTAGAGTGGTCTTTAGTGCAATCTGAATAAGTCTTGTGTTGTCTAAAATTCTGAGAGGAATTCCATGAGATGTTTGCATTATTGAGCTTATTCTTTTTGTTGCTTTTGTTACAATTTGAAGAAGCCTGTTACCAAAACATGATAACATGAACAAAAAGAATAGATCCAATAGTTTGAACAATTCTTGAAAGCAACCTTTCTTGTGTCAACATTCCATTCAAGAACTTTGAAGAGGTAGATATGAAGAGATCAGAGTATTGTTCTAGATGCCATTCAGGAATAATGCGCCATCAAGAAGCAAGCATCATTCAACTACGTGAATCATGAAAGCAAAATAAGACAGCTAACAGTGTTCCTGCTGCACTTGAATACAATATATACTCCTGTACTGTTTGTGGTCTTTTGTGCAATTCTCAAGCTGGTCTCAAAAGTCATGCCTGTCATAGTCATGCAGATAATTAGTTTGTGGTCATTGGAACCTCATACGTGAAACTCAATGGGAGTCCATCATCACGCACACATTCTCACTGCATATTATATGTGGATAACCCATATTTTAACTTCATCTAAAAGAAAACATTTTTTAACCAGATTAATTATTTATCATTAATGCATATTATACAAGGAATGAAAGACATATCTGTGTACTTTGTTAGTCTGTTCTTTCTAGAAAAAAAATTTCATCCAACTTCTTCCAAGCCCTGTATATTTTTTATTTAAAATTTTCGAGTAATTTTCTGCTTTCTACATTAGCAAATATATGTTGGTTAAGATAGAGAAAAGAATATACTAACAAAGTATAGAAATGGGTTACATGAATCTTGAAAAGGAAAGCTATTTGACAAAAGCTATATTACAAAATTTGACTTTACTCACAAATCCAAGAAGCTGTATTCACATGTCAGGAAAGCATCTTCTCTTAGTGGAGTCTACTTGAAGACTGTCTTTTTCTCAAGGCTCTTGAGGGTCATATGACTAGCTGGACTTATGAATAAAAACATCTTTTGTAACACCCACTAATGCAATTTATTGTCTTTTGTGATAGCTGTAATCTGTTTATATAATTTTCTTTTTGTTTTCACTTTTATGTTTGTTTTTTGTAGATGAAGATGATTTTCTCCAACCATGACATTGACCTGGAGCACAAGTACAGTTCAGGTCCATTAGAATGGCCTTTATTGGACAAAAATGTTGCTTACTGGATCAGCCCTGAAACAAATGTGAGTCAGTGAGGTTTTTAATCATTGGGGATTTTCATATTGAAACTATTCCCTTCTTAAATAATGTAAAAAAAAAAAAAATAATAGGAAATAGCATTTTTTTTTTTACATACATCACTTCCTGAGTCATTGGGTTTTCAACAGTCAGATATCCTCAGTTGATTCTGTTGTAGTTGATTAGTAGTACTACCTTACTTATTATAAAAACGCAGATTGTGTGTGTGTGTGTCTGTACTTTATATATGGGATCGTATTTCCTACATTTTTTCAACCAATTTCAACAAAAACTTCACAGGACTACATAAAATTACCCCGGAAGTGGTTCTGATAGTGCCAAGAATTGGAAAAACACAATTGTTTTTTGCACGAAAATCAATTTGAAAGCATTAGTTAAGGAGTATTCGACCCGCCAGAAGTTACTTCTGGCTACTCAAACGTCCTAATGCCGTTAAGTTCCGGTGACTCAGCATTTTTTTTTTCAGAGAACGATATACAAAAAGTAAACAAATGAAACCTAAACATACACAAGTCCTCCTAACTAAAAATAATAACCGGAAACTACTTTAAATACACATGGTGCCCAAATGAAACCCATGTGTACAGTCAAAATGCGAAAGTTAATTTTTAGTCATCAACCAAAAGATATTGCCAACCAGCTACAATGCTAACATCAGCTAACATCAGCTGCCATAAACACAGCAGATTTCTTCCACCAAGAGAGGGGAATTTTTGTCCCTGCCCGAGTGTACGCACTCGGGTCCCCCACATTAATCCGACCTTGTGTCACATCTCATTCTTGTGGGGGAACGAGTAAATGCCGTGACATGCTCCCCCTCTCACCTTCACCTGGCCGACCCTCGTGGAAAATAAACCTCCTCATCTCAAGTGTTAATAAAAGCAAAGCATGTCAGATTTATAAAGATTTCCTATTTGTCCCTTATCCTATCATTCTTTTGCATTCCTATCAATATTTGATCGTTATATATATATATATATATATATATATATTTCGATAAACGTGCAATCAATTTACAAATTCATGAATTATTCACACAAAAAACAAATGCAAAGGTTAATGATTTAATTGGCGAGAAATCCATCGTCGCAAAAACAATTCAAATAATATACAAAAACCTCCGAATCCGTTATGAATGAAAAGATCCTTATTTCTATAAATTTCTGCTGTATTAGTTCTTATTTTACTACAAGCTTTCGTCTGTTCCTACAGACATCTTCAGGTATGGAATAGATGTTGTTCTTGTTTTTTTCTTAGTAATAAGAGGACAACGAAAATATATGTATTGTTGTATCCGAAAAATGCTATTGGAAATGAGTTATTGTTTTTGGAGCGTGCAATAGCAACGCTGAGTTTGATTTTAAATTTTTACAGTTGTGCGCTCATGTACAAATATGGTGATAAAGAATTTTTACTGGTAAATTTTCTGTCAAAGTGGCATGAACTATATTGTTCAATAATTACAGTAATGTCGCACTTATTATCCAAAAGTCGCACTTGGATCAGTTATTTTAATTTCGATAAACGTGCAATCAATTTACAAGTTCATGAATTATTCACACAAAAACAAATGCAAAGGTTAATGATTTTTTTGTGAATAATTCATGAATATATATATATATATATATATATATATATATATATATATATATAAAAACAGATGCAAACTATGTATGCCTGGAAGAAAAAAATTAAAATAAGTTTATATAGTCTTAAAAATAGACATTTATTTTGCATCAAACACTGAAAAATATGTATTAGGTTTGTAACTAGGTAAGTTTATATGTATGTGTGTGTGTATTGTATATGTGTGTATCTATCTATTACTTTTATTACTATTATTATTACTTTAAATATATTATATTTTTTATTACTATTAAATGATGATGATGTTTAAATGAATAACAACATAGATTGCATTTCTGTGATATTTATTACTGGTTGCACAGTTAAAGTTTTATCCTTAAAATTTTCCTCTACCTTCCCTTAATGCAATATGCTCAAAAATCTAAAGTAGGATCTGTAATGTAATCGGTACTGAATTAGCTTCTTGACTTCAGCCGCTTTCTCACAGATGTGATGTGGCTTCCCTCTGTCTTTTCTACAAATATTTTCATGGCTACTGCACTGATGAGCATTTTTCCTTGGTGCCTTGACTACATGAATTTAAGTGTACTACTAGATTGGCATCTAGGTCCCAACTTTTTACTGTTGAAATAGTTAAATGTAACCGCCCTTCTGACAGTTTCTTTCCTCGCACTTCTCCATATTGGAACTCCATTCCTCTCACTTGCTTCCCTGATAACTACAATCATCAAAAACCTAAATGCAACATCAGTCACCATGTTTTCCTTTCTTCAATCTCCCCTACACCCACACTTTTCTCTCATTTTCACTCTCCATAACCCCCTGTGTGATAATGGCACTTCTGACTTGCTTGGGGTGAAATGCTTAAAAAAAAAAAATACCAAAACATTGAATATAAAATAATTAGGGTACTGACAAAAACATCTAATAAAATAATTAGGGTACTGAAAATAGCATCTACCACAATCAAAGGTAAAGCTCTCCCTACCAAAAGCTAAAATAATAAAAAAAGTGTTCAATACAATATATATATATATATATATATATATATAAAAGGTTGTATGTGTGTGTGTGTAACGAATGCATGACCGCAATTTTTGACAGATTTGCACCAAAATTTACATGCACATGCTCCAAGTTAGCAGGAAGTCCAAGACTGACTTTGCATTTCCCAACTCCCATTGATAGTGGAAATAATCGATTTTTTCATGCTTCTATGGCAGTTTTCATGTAGTTTGCGGCCAGAATGAGAGCCTATAGCTGGCTGCAACGAATAGGCAGGAAGATTCTATTGGCCAGCATGAGAGCCAACAGCTGACTGACACGAATGTTAACTAGCATGCAAAAAAAATCGATAGCTGCATTCGTCACAAGTGGGAAAAATCTAAATCTGCATGGCACTTTACTCTAATTGGCTCATTCGCTTGCTTAAACTCAACGTTGATTCTGATTCCGAGAACTGGGTTGGGTGTGAAAAAGTATTTGTTGTTAACATTCTTTTTCATTTGGTTCTTCCAGTTACGAGTCCTTTTTTAAAGCTGATCATTTTGTGTTCATTTTGCTTAGTTCTTATTTCGTAACCGATTTAATGTTTAGTATAGAACTTAGAAAAAATTCGCAGTGTGAGATAGGCAAGAAGTAAGGCATGTAGCAACATCAGCATGGCAAAGGGCACTCCTTTAAAGGCAAGGAAGGGCAAAAATATTTTAAGTCAAGTGATAGTGATTGCTGTATGAGTCGTACAATTTTTGAATCAAGCACGGGCAACGCTGGGCCATGCTGCTAGTTTTATATAAAGATCTCTTCTGTCTGAAAGTCACCTTCAAGGCCTTTCATCTACTGGTTTCTGTTATACCCAGCAAACCCCCTGCATATCACCTCAATTGATTCAGAAGCTTACTACACTTCAGCACCCACCCAATATTTTAAAAAGACCACCCATTGCTTCCTCAACTCAATGTACTTTCCTCTATTTCTCTCAATAGACTCTTTGATGAAATCCTTTCAGAGAGCTGTGAGTTCCAAGAAAATGATCACCATGTTTGGCCATAACATTGTTCTGGGAATTCCAATTACTTTCCCACATCAACTTTCAGCTTCCATTCTTGTGGTAGCACAATTTATTAAGTTTTCTCATAACAGCTGAACATGTTCTTCAGAGTCCCTCTAATTCTGACATAAAGTGCAAGGTGATGACTGCTTTTCTCAACCTGAACATCTTAGATGAGTTTAGTAGAATGTCAGACAGCCTGGATTGAGAAATTTATCTGATGTGGTTTTCTAAAACTTCATGAGACTTTGTTTACTCAGACTCTCGTTGTCACATTCCAGTCATCCTGCTGGCTCACTCCTCTTTAACCAACATCCTGGATCAGTGAACTATGACTTTTGCTGGTACTGAGGACACTACATTCACTAGCACTATGCCTTAGCTTATGACTCAGCTACATGAATGGCCTCTGCTGCCCTACACTCCAGTTCTGACCTGACCTGAGTACCATACTGAGACTTTTGGATCATTGGACTCTCACTATAGCAGCACCTCCCTATAACAGACAGAACTACAGACTAACATTTTTTCACCATTGATACAAAACCACTCTCACTTGCAGTATCTAGTATAGTATTATAGTGATACTTATTTCATTCTTTTTCTATCTTTTGTCTGTTCATGTCTAGCTATTACAATCTGTAAGTACCTATCATAATATATCAGTCTATTCATATACTTTAATTGATATCTAGGACCTGCCTGCATAGAGATGGCCACAAAGTAAATGTCTAGTTTATTATTTATGATAAAGTGAATTCAAGTTAAATTTAAAAAAAGGAAATAATTAATGGCACAAAAAGTGGTTTCTGGTAAAAATGGCACAAGTGAAATGAGATGAAAAATGGTAAAATTAATTTCTCAGTGAAAAAATCATTAATTTTTTCAACCTTAAAAAATCAAAGAATTATTTTATTGAACTTTTCAGAAATTATTTGGTAATAAATAAAATTATTTAATTTTTTTTTTGCATTTTGTAGAAATACTTTTAAGTCTGAAATTGAATTAGAACATACATGGCACATGTGTGAATGTACATAAACCCAATTTGAATGAAATTGAAATAGACATCTGGGTTGAGAGCACTAACCTCTGGGTAACAGGAAATGTGTGCAGATCACCAAAATTATTTTTTTTATTACTTTCTGTATTTAAAATGAATATATTTTCTAATAAATGTAGTATTTTAAATGGATAAAAATTTAGATTTGAAGTTTGATCATCTTGCCATCAGTGAAGCAACAGGGTATTGAACTAGTAAATATTTATTTTGATTCATTCAACCTTTAAACTGTGGTTTCTATGCCCTGCAGTCACTATTCCGAAATTTATTTGTGTTTAGTATAGTACAGCTTGTAACAAAAAGTTAAAACACAAAAGTTTTTAAAAAATACAAAACAAATTAGTTAAATTTTATTGTAATTTTTATAAAAGTCACTACTGTATTTTTTAAAGATTTTAGTTAAATTACCTCAAATAATAAGTTTTATCAGACTTTTAGAATTGTTTTGTTTTTAATTTTTGATATAAATAATCTTAATACATTTAATTATTCATCATCAAAAAAATTAAGAACTTTATCAAAAGTATTTTTTTACCTGCCTTACATTGTGGCTAAATTTTTGATGTTTGTTTATCATTTTTAAATTCTCACTTGTATTTTCAATTTAGTTTATTATAAGGAGGAAGTGGTAGCAAGTGAGCTGACCACTATGTGTGTTTTAATGTTTTGTAAATTCAAATGTATTTACCAGAAAGGCATTTTGCTTATTCCTCTCCTCTTATGCCATTTGAGCTTCAAGGTTAAAAGCTTTTTGCAGAGATCCCCTCTCCTCGCTGAACTGCCTTTTTTTTTCAGACAGAGTTGATGAATGTAACTCACACTATAATTCAGACAGTGCAAGTGTTTCACTGCTTTTTTCTCCAACAACTAGGCTGATGGTGTCGAGAGTCATCTTTTATTGAACTTCTTTCTTGTAAGCCTATGGCCACTTGACCTGATGATATTCTGAATGGGCTTTGGTAGTGTGGAGTGACTCCAGACATAGTTACTGACTGCTTGCACCATCTGCACACATCACAACCTGCTGGATCTTCAGGGCTTTGCATTCTATGCTCCTCATCATTGTAATTCCATTTTTGGATTCCCACCTTATGCATCAGATATTTCTGGAAATATTTTGTTTCTTTTTTCTTTCTTTCAGAAGATGCAGGTCAAGCTGATCCAATGCATTATTATTATTTATTTTTTTTTTTATAGGCTCAAATTCATCTCCTTGGCAACATTTTCATTTGGTACTTTTCAACAGTTGCTTTGCTTGTTTATATTGTTGTCTGGTTGTGCTACATCCTCACAAGACAACGTTTGGCTTTTCATCTTAATGAAGGTAAATTAAGTCTATTTTATTGATGTAGATAAACTATTAAGATAACCACCTTAAGAAGCTTGACTGTATTATCAGATTGTTTTAATCATTCTTTACAGATAAAAATAAAAATTTCTAGTCATAAATTCTGAAGCTTTACCATATGACATAAATCTAATGATTATTTCTTTTATTTTAGTATTACTTTGTTGGTGTCTTACAAATTAAATTTACTGTGGACTATGTGAAGGAAGGAATCAATAAAGGCCTTAATAATCATTTTTTTTCTTCTAATAGCTGAATGGAACCATTTCGTATTTGTTGGACAATTGCTATTGGGGGGTTATTTTCTTCATTACCTCCCACATTTTGTAACAGACAGAACAATGTTTTTACATCAGTACCTGCCAGCCTTTCTCTTCAAAGTGATCACTTGTGCTGCTCTTTTTGATCATGTTCTTTCCGTGGCCTCAAGGTAAAAACCTTTCTTTTTTGTCCTTTTCTTCTTCCTTGGTGCAAATACACACATGCATTATATATTTGAAGTAGTGGAAAGATTTTTTTTTTAACTAACATTTTTATTGTAACATTTCCTAATCAATATCTCACAAAAAAAGGCAAGAAAAACACTCACTTTTTTCCACTATTTATTTCTTCTACAGATTTTCACAGTCCCTTGCAACTATGTTGAAGTACCTCACTGTGATAATTATCTTTGTTACAGTGATTGTTTTCATTTATTTTGCTGCTTTCTCATATGGAACAATACCACTGACTGCACAAGACATCCAACAAATGATGTGGAAAGAAAGTTGGGATTTTCTTATTCTCAATAAAAGAAAATGAATTTCATACACATAATTGAAAAAACAAAAAGAGACAAAGTGAGTGATTGTCTTGGCCTGTATACTGAATTGTCTTCACACAAACATACTTTATTGGGCCTTTTCTTAAAATCAAAATACAGATTCCACTGATAAAAAATAAAATAGTGACATTGAATTTATTTTCAGAAATGACTTTTACATGTAAAATTCAACATCCTCTAACCAACAATGATTGTAATGTAAGCTGGATAAAACCTTTTTACTTTTAGAAGCATTTGATGCAATAAAGTTTTCATGTTGATTATATATCTATACCATGATAGCATTTTAAATTTGGGTCAGATCAGTTGACTTAGTACAAAACTGGCCTATTAAAAATTTCATAAACACCTACTTTCCATTTAGTCTCACTACTATTTTCAGTAATTAGACACACACAAAAAGTACCCATTAGATTTCACACACATACTAACACCACAAAATATCAATACAGGATATTGACCCAACCAATGAAAACAACTATCATAAAATTTGCTGAAGTGCTGAAACATTCTCCACATGTGTCCTCATTTCCAGAAAATGTCTGATGAAGCTATAATAAAGTTAGCCAAACATGTCAAATTTATAAATGTTTTATTTTTTCTTATTTAATCATTCTCTCAGATTTAATTCATATTTTTTCAATTCAGATAGAAATATTTTTGGTTATAAAAATATATGTTGATACTTTGAAGAAATAATCCACTCATTAACCCAACAAATATTGCACTGTTTAAAATTAAAAAGTTAAATAAAGTGAAGAAATTATATATGAATGATTCCATTTTCTTGGTTTTCAGCAACAATATCTGTTAAATAAAAGTATAAAATAGTAAAAAATATTTGCAAGATAAAAATATTTAAGTTTCTTTTAAGAAACTGAAAGAACCAGATTTTAAAAAATACAATTAAAACACAAAGCAATTTGAATGATTTTTATTCATGGATTTTTCTGAAATTGTAAATGTATTCAATCTCTTTGCACTTTCTCTAGCCAAACAATGTGCATAAATTTTTCTGTTGTCCACATTCTGGTGCAAGAGCTGTCTTTCTAATGATTAATGCAGTTTTATTTTATACTAATGGCAACATATACTTTCTCAACAGCAAAAGGAAAAATGGGAACTTGTAAAATGAAGATCACATGGTAAAGGGGTTTGTGTGATGAAAAAATAGTGGATGAAGGGTGCTGACAGATGACAAGTTTCATTAAATGTAAGTGGTTTAAACTAAACAGAAAAACACTTCATTATTAAGAAATAATTTATACCACAGATTTTATAAGTACAAGACAAATTACTCGGGGCTTTGAGGAGTTGTGAAAGACATACCAAATGTCCAAGTGTTGGTGCTTTAACTTTAATCTGAGCCAAAAGACTTAACAAGTAACATCACATGAACCATGGCAATACCTCCTCATTTTGCAAAATTAGTAGGTACTTGTAGTTTCTTCTGGTTTGTAATCAATTTCCTTAATTTCCATCAAGAGTTGGATTGAGAACAGTGACTGCTGCAGCAAACAGGAGAGACATGTTGCAGTGGATTTTTTGACTTAAGGGAATTGATTACGAGCCAGAAGAAATTATAATTGGTTGGAAATTGTTAAACTGGCCATAGTAGGTAGCCAAAGCCATGATATACTATAACAGAAAAATATGGAAGTCAGACTAAATGAGTAAAGTGGGGTCATCAGCTTTGAAGGGTTAGAAACAGCTTTTATATGAGGGGGTGTTTATCGCATGAACTGCTGTAACATATCAATAGGCAGAGGGAATACAATGGTGGAATTCTTTTCAGCCGAGATGGTGCTGAGAGTTTGCAGGTAGCGCAGCTGTAAGGCAGAAGGTGATTCATTGATTATGTTTGCAGCTTCTTTGAGGGCTCGAGAGGCTTGGTGTTCACCCTCAGCAGCTATCACCTGTGAAAAGATAAGATGAAACTGATGACAGTTGTAATAAGATTCTAAATTGTCTTCTCTAATTCAAACCATGTTGCACTAGGTGGAAAGCAGAGGGAATATAAACAGTATGACTGATCATAGCAGCAGCAAAAAAGCAGTACAATGAATGCAGCATAATCGTTTGACTAAAATCACTAAGTCAATGCTGTTAACTAAGCCTGTAGTGTACACTTTAATTATGATGTATCAGTACTTTTGAATAAGGTTAGTTACTCTACATTTTCAGATAAATTGACATAGATTGTAACTAGAATAGAATTTCATGTATTAGACAATAATGATTTGTCAGTTCAAAGTTGATAACAAACATTCACAAATCTTTGAGACATTTCTTTTTGACCTTATTTCACATATTTTTAAGTAAAGTTTTTTAAATTACAATATATCACTGACCTAAATTTGGTTTAAATCCTTTTGTAATTACAAAGCTATGAAAATGCTGTGAATGAGGGACTACTTTCCTGCTCCAAATTTATGTAATTTAACTGGTAGTTCAAAAATATGCAGTACTTGTCTAAATTTTCACAATAAAATTGTTATTAACCAACCAAGATTAGTAAATTTTTCAGGATATAAATATGCTGTCACTTTTTCTTAGAAATAACTTATTTGGTGATGTGAGATTTTATGTAACTTGATGGTTGTTCCTTAGTCACTTGTAATGGTGTTCAGTAGTAGGTAGTATTTCTTCCCAAGGGACATGGCCATAGTGATACACACCTAAAAGTAGTTGACTGAGATCCAACAAGGATGCATTACCCACTTGCAGAAGCCACTCTCAGTATGCTTGCATAGACATCTGTGTTGATTGTAAGTGCATCAGTATAGTTCATTATTGGACACACCTTTGCTGTGTTCACACCTAAAAATGAGGACCTGGAAGTTCAGGGTGGAGGAAATTTTTAAGATTTTGTTCAGGCTATAGAATCCACCAGCTATTCTCAATCCATGTTCAGAGCTCCTGTTTCTAGGGGAAGAAATTTTCCGCAATCACAGAATCGCGGACAGAATTGTTAATCTTAATTGGAATCTGGGTTTTGAATGTAATTTTCAATAACAAATTAATTATCTGATTTTGTTTTTTTAGATTTCTTTTTGATTCTTTCAAAACTTAAAAACTGTCTCTCAGATTTTCTTAAACATTTTAATATATATAACATAGTTATTTCCTTCAAATTTGTTTTTACAAATATTTGTACTTATTTTCCTTATAAAACCTGAAAAATAAAAGAAAAGTGGGTTGTCGATTTTCTGAGATGTTAGCTAGGCTATTTTTAAATATTTTAAAACTTTTCTAAGAAATAGTATGTAGCAAATGATATGAAAGTCAGATCACAGCTCAGTCATTGGAGGAAAAAGGGAGTGAGACAGATTCATTTCCTTTAAAGCCTCACACAATTTACAAGTAAAAGATTCTAAACAACGTGTAACCTTGTTTTATGAATATGAAAGAAAAGTGAGTGCTATCACATGCCTACAATACAATTTAGAAATAAAGAAAAAAAATTTTTCCACCATTCTATGAAACGACTGTCTAAGCTTACCGTCACACAGCAATTCTCCCAAATTAATAATTACATCATTTTCAGTTCTTCACCATTGTAAACAAATTTAAATTGAACAAAAAAATCCTTTAATAACATTAATTATCAATGATTATGATTTATATTTTGTAATCTAAACCAGTTCTATGAATAAGCAACAAATTGCCAACATGACTGAATCAAGAAGTCAATATAGTGAAACAACCTCTAAAGTTGGGTCTGCTATTCTAAAAGAAAATGACCCCAGTATCAAAAATCTGTGCTAAAGCTAGAGCAATTTCCTGATGACTTTTATGCAGAAGAAAAATGTTGTAAATTCTGTCTCCATAGTGTTGACATTTTTGGGGTTGATACAATCAAAGATCACATCAAATCAAAAACTCATTTGACAAAAAAGTTTTCAAAAATGCCGGCTCAACTGAAACATAAGACAATCACAATTTTGTTGAAGAGTAAAGAGGTACAAGATGATTTTGTCCTTGATTTTTTGAAAATGTGCACTTTGTCTAACCTACACAAAATTGACAAAATGAAGCCATTCATATTAAAATATTATAAAGAAGGTGGTACTATTCCAAGTGTCAATTGTGTTAGGCAACTTCATCTACCAAAATTGTTTGCTTGTCACTTTGCTGCCCTGAAAGACAAGCTTGCTAATCAATCAGTCAGCATCATAACAGACGAAACTGTTGTGACCACAGCATTTTGAATGTAATTGCAAGAATTCCTGGGGAGCCATTTCTCATTGCATTCTCCCAAAGTTACAACATCAATCATCAAACAGTAAGTCAGGCATGCATCTGAACTGTAAGTCATGTGGATATTGCATTTGATCATATTATTGCCTTTGTAACAGATGCTACAGCCTATTGCAAAAAAAAAAAAAGGCTCATAAGGAAGTGTTGTCAAATGTCTTTGTTAACAGTTGACATGTGTTGTGCTTAGCACATATTTTAAATCTTGTTGGTGAAGTATTTTCACATTGGCCAGAATTTGATATTGTTACCCAGCTCTCTACTTTCATCAAGTCAGCCTTTTCTAAAAAGCTTAGTCAGAAAAAATGATTCTTAAAATGGCTTGAAGGTCCCTTGCCTAAGTACAAGTGAAACTACCCTGTGTACAAGTAGCAACCAAATGGAATTCCTGGTTTAATGTAGCCAAATATCACTCATCCTTTGTACAATTTTATGAAGGACTTTTAAGCAAGAAAAGAACCATGGCTTTGCAGTAGATAGGATTCTAGGATTAGTAGGCGATGGTCAACTACATCATGCATCTTACCATAATTTGTGCCTAAATCTGCATTTTATAAATGAGAACTGCATTTGTCTAATAACAGCTTTGACAAGCTTAGAAGAAATTAAGTCTGCTTGTATGTATTGTATATAACATGATGAAGGATGTAAAATAGTATTTGCATACTGGTACATCAAAATCAACATTTGGCCTAGAAACTGTCTTCTGTTATCTCAAATTTCCAAAGATAAACAAAAGCTGGGCCACGCATGTGATCAAAAGGGAATTTCAATGAGACCACCCTAAAAGAATAGCCACTAATTATCTTTCAGAGATATCATTTAGTTTTGGTTCTTGTGTCCAGCGAGGAGTTCCATCTGTTGTATTTCCGAATCTTGACATGAGAAGAGAGGGTCGAGAACGGGGATCATTGTTGTTGTCAGACATGGTGACTCAAAAATGAGCATCTGGTGGTACGAAAATTTTAATACACGAGAAAAGGAAGAATTTGTTTATCAAGTAAAAATGACCACCCAGTTTAAAAGTTGACTAGCAGTGATTAATGAATCGGTGGAAATTCTGCTAAGTGAATTTTGGGTGGCTCAGGATAAGATAAAATTTTAATTAGGGCCACGTGGAATTCATAAGAATTCTGACCGATAGAGAAGAAGAAAAGAAGGAAAAGAGAATTTTTTTTTTCTGGACAATAATAAAGAAGGCCAAGTCTAGCCACACCCATGCTGCCGAGCGATCATTGGCTGATTGGTGGCGTGAGTGATGGGCGAAGGTGAATGTATGAGAAAGGCGGGGAAGTTGTTGACACCCACTAAGAGGATTGGTATGAGATACCAATATGAGAAAGAAAGAGTCTAGGAGGATAATTCTCCTCACGGATGAGGGAGAAAAACCCTGAAAGGCAAAGTGATTAGCTTTCAAAAATGGGAAGTAATAAATTTTCCTGTTCTGGGGACAAAGAAAATTTTTGGTTGGGAATTAAGAATTGTCAAAGAACCCAAACCATAACAGGCCCCAACCCGGTTTTGGTAGGTGTCCATATAAACAAACGTCCCTGGACGTTCAGAGTTGAGTTGGGTTGGAGATTGGAGACGTAGTGTTTATTCGATAGAGAGCTGTTGAGCTTGGAGAATAGTGCCTCAATAGCTGACCAAGATTTCCATGTCCTTTACGACTTAGTCTTCCTACCAAAAGCAAGGTTTTATTGGCGAACGACTTAAGTTGCAATAACTCGCTTAAGAAACACAAAAAGTGTCACAAATCCATAGAACGGGCCGGGAAGGATACACACTCCTGTATTCAACAGATAGATAAAGTTAATTGTTATTTCTCAACATATTTGAACCTCATGAGTTTGTTTTATTATTTTTTTTTTTACTTACGCTTGTGCGGTATCACCTTTACCCCGGATTCAGCTTGCACTACGACCCGACACCTGATTGATTTTGATCAAAGTCACAACGTAGGTAGGTTAGACTTGCGATTAAAGCAGTTACTTCGGTGACCAGGCGTTGGAGGCGAGCTGAGAACGACAATGTTGGTATCGAACCGGAAACGACCAGATCGACCGGGACACAGGCTGGTGGCGGTGACAATGAGTCAACCCCAAACGCTGGTGGAAGAAACCTTACAGCTTTGTGCCACAACTAGGAGTTGACCACGGGCCGACGGCACAGCATCAGATATTGATCATTCTATTGTTTTATTGTCTAGTCATGTTACATTTTTTTATTTTTAAATATAATTTGTTTTGGGACTTGGATTTTAACATTTTAAAAAAAGATTTGTAGATATTTGCTATTTCTTTATATGCAATAAAACTTTGAATTATGTTTTTATTTTCAGTTTTAATAATAATTATAGCATATTGTATTGCAGTTTTCTCATAAAATACTATAAAAACAGAAAAAAATGGAATTTACCAAAGCTGGAAACAGAATTAAGGAAAATTTGAAACAGAAAATCGGGGGCCCTATGCTTGAGTGAAAGACTGATGAAAGTTATAGGATGTCAAGGAGTTCATATTAACATGTGAAATAATAATTTATTCAGAAATATGCAATACTGTGTTCATCAAATGTTTCTATTGCTTTCTTTTATTAGAAATAAAAGTTGATGTTGTACTTTTCATAACAGAATCTGATACACCTCAAAAGAAATTATCAATATTTTTAATAAGCTGAAACTCACATAATATAGTATATCCTGAAAATATTATGACATCATTTGGTTAATACCAATTGTGAAAATATTCACTTGCAGAATAAAATCTGAGAAGATTTGTTTCTGATTAAAGGTAGCATAGAATATCTGGATGTGGCAATAGTTATAAAGTTTTGACTTGCAAGTTCATTTTTACTTTTTATTTTTTTTGAAGGTGGCTTCCTTTTGATTGCACTAAGAACTTTTCAGTACCACCTGTCATAGAATAGGGGATAGCGAAATTGAAACAACTACCAATTTGTCCTAAAAATAAGGTAGCAGGAAATCTGCATAGCAAAGAATTAAACTTACCTTGGCCTTGGCTTCTCTGGAAGCTTCTGCTTCAGCAGCCATAGCTCTTTGAAGTTGCACAGGTAATCGCACATCTTTGCTGCAAAAGGGAATACAAAAATAATTAATAGAAAATTATTACTTTTTTTAACTGAATAATGCTGTAAAATATACATTATTGGATAATGTACTTGACTTTTGTATAGTTTGACTGTAAAATAATTAGACATTAATTTTCTATGAAAGCTTCTTATGACATATATATGAGTCCTTATTTTTGTTGTCTGTTACATATAATCTTTATTGTATCTTTACAAAGCTTTGCTTCTTGACAAAATATTGAAAAGATTAATAAATATGATTAACAAAAGAAAAGTTCTCAATATTAATTTTACTTCAGGATTAACAATTGAACAATTTATATTGGACTTACATGGCAACTCTCTCTACATGGATTCCCCAGTTCTCTGTGGCTTCATCAAGGGCAGACTGCAAATAAATATTTGGAAATGTTTGTTTTTTCATTATTGATTTCAGTCAAAAGATACTTCATACTAAAGGAAAGATTTCCTATGTGTTTACAATTGAAAATGTCCAAATTCTTCATTAAAATCTCTTTTACACTGAGTAAATTAGTATACAATAATATAGAGTTAGAGCTAATTATTTGCTTAATACATTTTCTATTTATGCTTTTCCCAGTTAAAACTGACTTTGGGGGAAAATTTGGTTTTGCTCAAAAGAATCTTTGCTAGCTATTTTGGAGTTTCTCTTTGAACCATTCTTAAATTCATTTTATTGTTTACAACATAATTATTAACTTGTTTCTTTTTCCATCTTCCAACTATCTGAAAATTTTAATAATTATTATCCAATTAGTAGTCCCTCCAGATCATCATGCAGCAATTAAATGTTAAACAGTTTAAGATTTTTACACAAATACTTTTTATAATGGTGAAATTATAAAAATATAAATCAAACAATTTCACATTAAATTTTGTCATTTTATAACATTTTTAGTACAGAACAGGTTTGAAATTTATTTGGAGTCATTGAATGGTGTTTTTATGTAGCATATTTAAATCAAATATGAATATGATATCTGTTGATAAATTCAATAGATTTATCATACTCAGACAAGTAGAACAGTGTATTTGCAAAACTGGAAATTGGAAGATAAGTGCTTTTGAACTTTTATTTATCAATGAAGTATTATTTTAATAGTGATCACTTTATTTACAAAAATTTACTCATCTTTAGAGACACTGAACTCTAGTAATTTATTGATCAACATGTTTTGTTAGGTCTTAATGATCTTTATTATTATTTATGTCAAAATCCCATTGAAAACTCCACCATACCACTTGAGTTAACTGTTGTGAGGTCAACTGTTAATGGTGTTTGCTATTATTGACAGTGTAAATATTAAAAAATGTAAATTTAAAAAGTGTAAATGTTAAAATAACATGCACAACCAGATCAAAAATTATTAATAATTATAAAATATCAGACTATATTACAATATCATAAAATTATATATATGTAAATAAAATATATTAAATAGTAATTAACACATAACAGAGGAAAAGATACACAATATATTTTCAACTACAAATAATTAAACATTTATCTTACCTGCATTCCTTGACTGACTGCCTCTCTATCAGCTAGAATTTCTGATAAGTTTTTTGTGCCAAGCATGTTTCTCAGTGTGGTCTGGGCCAAAAGACGAGTGGAATGGTGTGCATTTTCCACATTGGCCACTGAAATTGTGGGATTGGATACTCTGTAGTAGACGACTGCATCAACAGAAACTGTTACACTGTCACGGCTCAACACCTAACAAATAAACCATCATCAAAAATATTTTTATCATACCAACTGCAGTTGGGATCACAGAATCATTGTGAACTCCATGATCCTTTCATTAGTTACATATAGTATGGGCTTTGCTAGGGCTACATATGGTCTTTTGTAAGTTGTTCTTCTAGACTAATTGCCAACCAAATCTGAAGAACCCTGTCTGTTCTACTATTTAACACATAGCTGGAGAGAGAGAGATATAGATTCATACCTTTCCCAGGAGTATTAACACATAAGTAAATGTAATGAATTTGACTGGCATTCAGACTTGGCTCTCTGACACTATTCTCATTCCAAGCACTATCCATTACACTCTACCTGTACATTCTGTGTTTATTATATGTGTTTCATAAAAGATTTAAAATTAACTTCATTCATTAATTTTTTTGTTTATTTTGAAATAAATTAGTCAATTATTAATTAGAATATTGGCTGACATTAATGTTGGGAATATGCATTTGTAGATGTGAGCAATAACAGATAATTTTGGTCAATCATGCCCTCAACTGTTTCATGTAACTTGAAGGAAGCAGGCTTTTATCACATAAAGCTAAAACAGTGTGACATGTTTTGTGCATTACAAAGTAAGACACTTGTTATGTCGTGCATATTGCTAAATAAGCATTCGACTTCCGTTCTAGTTGTTGTCCATTTATATTATGAGCTACCTGCTCATATGCAAATCATACTAATTTGCATATCACTACATCTCCCTATAACGGAGTGGCCTTATGCCGCGAGTACTTCTTGTACTTCTTCTTGTGCCCTCCTGAACATCTTCCTTTATCTCTCTCCTTTCCCTTGGAGATCTAGATCTATCACGTCTTTCCCTATAATCGAACTGTTCCTCTTGCATACTCTGGTCTTTCTCTTCTAACTTGTCCCATCCCACTTCTTCCTCCTCTAACTCATCCCTCTCTACTTCTTCCTCCGCAGTTTCATTCTGCATTAACTCTTCTGTTACGTCAATAATGGGCATCTCTGAAGGCATTTCCTCATCCGATTCTTCTCCTTGGGATCTTATTTGGTTAGCATGAGCTAGAATACTGTTCCCATTTTCTTTATTTAATATTGCAGTATTATGTCCTTTCTGCATAATAAATTCAGCTGACTCGGGTTGCATATTCCTGTTTCTTTTGTACCACATCTTTTGATTTGTGGCATATGACATTGTCAAAGGGTACCTTAATTGTCTGCCCATTAAGGCAGATGGACTTTCCGGCCTACCTGCATGTGGAATTGTTCTATAACTTAACAGCAGTCTTGGTAGAAAAGTATCGACTTCCTCCTTCTGTTGCAAGCATGCTTTTATGCCCTTCTTTACTGTCTGGACCATCCTTTCCGCTATCCCATTACTTTGAGGGTGGTAGGGAGGGGTCTTGTAAGGTCTGCATCCTATTTTTCTTAACCATTCATGCAAATCAGCATCCACAAATTCTGGTGCGTTATCAGTCACCAATGTTCTCGTGTCCCATTCCTCGAAAATATTACTCTTAATATTTGTTTTACGGTGGTACTTTTTTATCAGGTACTCTCACCACTTCAGGCCAACCTGAATATCGTCTACTAATATTAATAATAGTCCTATCCCATTGACATAGGCATGGTCCATGTGTACTCTGCTCCATGGTTCTACTTCTCCAGGGCCATACATGTATTTTCTTTTTGCTTAAAATTCCTAAGTTCTGTGCATTTTTGCATCTTCTTACGTACTCTTCTACGTCTCTTGAGTACCCCGGCCACCAAGCTTCCAATTTTAATCTTCTTTGCGTAGCTGCCACTCCACAATGTATGTCATCGTGTACACTTATTATAATCTGTCTCCTCTGTGTTTCTGGGGGAACTACCAAGTCTCCCTTACATATTATCCCGTTTTCTATAGTCATTCTATGTCTAATTTCTTTGAATGGTCTTTCAGCCATTGAACAATTTCCCCAGCGATTCTGTTTTATCCTCGACATTATTCTATTTAACACTGGGTCATTTGTAGTTTCAGTAGCCATTTTATCTACAGATATTACATCGGTTTCTATGAGGTGCAAGAATGTGTCTTCAAATTCCTCGTCGTTTTTGTCCTTCTCTTCTCTATAAAACCTCAATCTAGATAAGGCATCAACGCATGGTATCGTATTCCTTTAACATATTCAATGTCAAAGTCGAACGCCATCAGTCTAATCGCCCAACGTAATATTCTGGACGTTGTAACTTTCGGTAGCTCTTTTCTTGGGTTGAAAATAAATTCCAGTGGTCTGTGATCACTTTTCAACAAAATTTTTTTTCCCATCAAAAACTGTCTTGCTCTATCCGTTGTCCACACTATGGCTAGTGCCTCCCTTTCTATATTCGAATAATTGTGTTCAGTTGTTGTTAATCTCCTCGATAAGTACATTATGGGATGCCCATCTTGTGACAAAATACCAGATATGGACTGCTCACTAGTGTCAGTAGTTAGAGTTATGTCCTTCTTAGGGTCAAAAATTTGTACTATTGGCTTTTTTGCCAGAATCTGTTTTAAGTTTTCAAAGGCTTTCTGTTGGTGTTTTAACCAAATGAATTCCACATTTTTTTTTTTCTTAACTTAGCAAATGGTTCTGTCAACTCATTATATTTTGGTACATATTTTCTATAAAAATTTACCAAACCTAAGAAGGACTACAACTCTTTTATTTTTTGGTGTAGCAACTTTTAGAATTTTCTCTATTAATACTTTATCTGGAGAGATCCCTTCCTTTGATATTGAGTAACCCAAAAATGATATTTCATTACTGTTGGTTACACACTTTTTTGTATTTATTGCCATACCAGCGTCTCTTAGCCGGTTCAATATATTTTCAGTTTTTTTCTTTAAATCATCTTCATTTAAATCTCCAACACATATATCGTCTTGATAACAGATGGTATTTTCAATTTCCTATTACTTTTTGAAAAATTGCACTTGCCGTTTTTATGCCATACGGCATTCTTTTCCACCTTAACAGGCCTATAGGTGTGTTTATGGTCGTCACTTTTTAAAATTTTCATTTATCGGTATTTGGTGGTAAGCTGATTTTAGGTCTATCTTCTTAATACTTTCATTCCAGCAAGTTTATGTAAAGCTACTTCCAAATTCGAATAGGGTAATGAGTCAGCACAAACTTTATGGTTCACCCCTATTTTATAATCTCCACAAATTCTCAGGTCACCATCTTTTTTTTTTCAATACCACAATGGGTGATGCCCATTTACTTCCTCCTGAGGGGCAGGTTCTAATAAGTCTTCCTTTATTAGCTTTCCATAATTTAGCTATTGCAAATGGTAATAAATGCACTGGTATTTTTCTCACTTTGTAGTAGGAGGGGGAAACATTTTTTTTAATTTCAGGCTAGCTTCATAATTTTTTAATTTTCCTGTTTTTTCTATTTCTATCTCATTAATCAACTTCGTTGAATTTATTTTTAACACGTCATTCCCCAGTAGTCCATGCGTTTTTTGGCAATTTGTAACTATAATGGGTACTATTTCATATTTTTCTTTTAATTCTATTGAACCTTCAAAGTAACCCATAATTGCTATAATCGAGCCATCAAACTGACGTAGTTGTATGTTGTTTTTTTTTAAAAACGGTTTTCCCATTTTTTCCCACAAATTTCTGGGTAATATCGTGACGTCACTACCTGTGTCGATTTGCATTTCGACAATACAGTTGTTGATCTTCACTTATTTTTGTATCTCTGTTCTTAGATCCAGTATTTTGTATATTATCCTTTTTTACATTAAAAATCTGTCTATTTTCGTCCTCTACTCTTTCCACATTTTTCGTTTTACATACTTCTTTGAAGTGATTTTTTTTTAAACACTTTGAACACGTCTTTGAACACGGCTGGGCATTTTTCTTTTTTCATTTCATGAATTTTTCCACAGTATGTAGAATTTTATCTTTTTGTTTGTACCGTATATGTTTCAGCCATTATTTCTTCGTAGGATTTATTTTTATTTTGGTTGTAGGTATGTATTAATTCCTGCTGTTGTATAAATTCTATACACATATTCAAAGGCATGCTTGTAAGTTGTAACTGTTCCATTAACTTATATCTATGTGCTGAATTATGCATACCTTCAATTAATCTTAGTTGGATTAATCTTCCGTTGTCTGCTCTCCTGTTCCTAGTTTTTCAAATTCACAGTATTTACTCGCACTTCTTAACCGGTGTAAATATTTTACTATCGGTTCATCCACTTCCTGCTTCATTGCCATAAACTTGGTCCTTTCTGCAATCACCAGTCTTTTTCTTTGGCCTCATGTTTCCCTTAATAACCTGACTTATTTCTTCGAAAAGTCATTTTCTTCTAGTTCTGGACGGGGTAAACCATTGTAGCAACCTTCATAATCGCTTCACAACCAGCGGTAGCCATAAACAAGTCGGTGATTTCATTTTCCCCTCCTCTGTTTTGTTGTCTTTCAACTTTTTACATCTTGCATTAGCAGCAAAGCAATGAATCCACGTGTCTACGTACTCTGGGTCTTCAAGGACCAAAGAGTATCCTATCGGTGACGCCATTGTTGTGTCGTGTATATTGCTAAATAAGCATTCGACTTCCGTTCTAGTTGTTGTCCATTTATATTATGAGCTACCTGCTCATATGCAAATCATACTAATTTGCATATCACTACAACACTGGTGATCTCTGATTTTATATACCTTGAAAGAAAAGTGATAACTAAGGTTTAAACTGCATTTTTAAAAAGGAAAAATCTTTCTTGAAGTTTTTATTTTAGTTTTAACTTCAAGCTAATAGATTAAATTTATTATTTTCAATAAGCAAAATACATTACTGTATTTGAAACTGAATTTAAATTAATTGAAATGAGTTTTTTTGATTGTTAAAAACATTAAAATCATCTATACTGACAAAATTGTCAATACAACATAATACTCTTTATTAAAAAATTTTTCAAAAATAAAATATACTTTTCTGAAACTTTATTTGAAGAAGATTAACTGATTTAAAGTTTAATTAATCTGATTTGAAACAGATATTACTTTTAGTTTAAAATATTACAGGAAGTATTTTTTTTACCACTGAGGTGGGTGTTTTTATGAGGCGTTGACACATTTTGTGATAGATTTAAGGGAGACTTGAATATAATATGATTGTTTTTTTTTTATAATTTTTTTTTAACTACCCAGTAATCTTAAAAATTTAAGAAAATATTCTAAGCAGTTTAATATTTTATTGAACTTTAGGTATTTTGCCTTCATGAAGATGCTTGTTAAGGAAATCTTAGAAAATTACCAATAAATTATGATAGTTACTACTCTTATTTTCCAATAGTATCACATCTGGATATCTGTATTTACAAACATTGACATATTTATACACACATAAAATAAATTAAAAATTAATTTAAAATATCAGTGGTCATTAAATTGTAGTGAGCTTTTTCATTCATTATTACTAAATACAGTCTTAATTTAATAACAATATCACTTGAACACTACGAATTAATGCAGAATTGGAAAAGATTTAAAAGTTTATGAATTTTTCTAATTAAAATTTTTTAAAAATTCATAAAAAAAAAATTCATAAGATAATAGTGTCCATAATATATTTTATACATAAAAAGCAATTCAAAAGTTTTTCAAATTACATGTCTTAGCAATATTTCATTTTTTTATTTTACAATTCAGAGTAGACAAGCTGTAACTGGGGGTCCTATTTTCCCCCAAAATTTAATAATTTAAATTATCCAAGGACATGGCCTTATAACTAATATAAACATTAAGTGCTACAAAAAAAATTTCTCAAAATTTCATAAAATTAAATAAGTTGGGGTTTACATGTAAAAAAACAAATATTTTTACAAAACTCTATTAAAGAAAAATTTAAAAAATGATTTCATTCATTTGTAAATATGTCCAGAAAAATTTCATTAAAATCTGACAATTATCTGATTTTTGCAAGAATTTCCAAATCGGTGAGTTTTACACTGCAAAAAGATGCTAAAATTTCCCATAATAATTTATGTTCACCTGTTGATTCAAGAAAAACAAAATTTTAACCAAAATTTTGAAGGTTCTAAAAAAGATCAAATAATATAATTTAATAATCAAAGTCTTTTCTTATCATAATAACAAAGATTTTGACAATAAAATTTTGTTTTTAAGTTTGGGGTATTTTTTCATCATGTATGCTCAATTTTAGTGAATCTTTGGAGGTACATATATATGGGGGGAGGTACTGAAAAGTTCTCAACTTGACTATGAATGGATTCCCCAAAAATTCTGATGTCTTGAGAAGTAGGTCAGGCAAAGGACTTTTCAGGACCTCACTGTGTGTGTGTGTGTGAGAGAGAGAAATTTCTTTATAAAATGCACAACAGCTTTTGTAATTTTTCCAGATAATTTAAAAATAAAAAAAATATTGATAATAGAATTTTTTTAAAAAATTATTTTCATATTCTGTGCATATACAAGCAAGATCAAAGAAAACATTAATTTTAGAAGAAAAAGTTCAAAATTGCAATAAAACAATTCAATTTGAATATATTAATTCCCAAAATATATGGTGGGCTTGTTATTTTCAAATTATTAATAAACTTCAAGTGGCTATGATCAGAAGACCTCTGGAGAGAAATTGAGCCAATTAATGACATCTTTAAGCAGACCAGCAAACACAACCCATGCCTTGTCAAGATGAGGTCTGTGCCACACCTGAACCCTACCATCAGCCTGAAACAAATGGAACCATAACTCATCTGATCACTCTAAAAGTAGACAACCTGCCAAACAGTGAGGTGTTGTTTTCGCATGGAAACTAAAGAATGCTGAACTGACCTGCTGGATATGCATCTTGTACATCCTGTGGTACAATGTGGATGTGATTTGAGTCAGTATTACTGCTGACAATTCTAGCCAGATCCCTCTGTTCACAATCATTAAAGACCCATAGTCAGCCACTGTTTTGTCCATAATAATGTCTTCCATCAATATTCCTAGTACACATGTGACACTGTAGATTGAGGGATGTAAAATGTCCCCACAATTTCAGAAATAGAATTTAATATCTGCCTGTCATCCTCTATCATGCCCCATTCAGACTGATCACTCTTGTTACCTTTGCCATTAGCAGCTTAATAAGACTCATCTGATGTCAGAGCACAATTTTCTGGGCATTTTCATGAGGTGAATGTATTGTGGTGCTACTTATCATTATCTTTACATACTTCTATCCCATGATCTTTGGCACCACACTTCTTGGCATTTTTAGATTTAAATTTTTGCATTCATACACAAGGCTAAAAATATTTAAAAATGCTAAGTAGGAAAATGCTGTTAGTATCATTTTATCACAGACCATAGATAATGTCAATTTACCTCCTGGGGGGGTACATCAAATGATAATGTCCTCAGGTCAACTTTTGTATAGCTTTCAATGCACGGTAGCACAAAAAATATTCCTGTATAAGAAAAAAATATATACTAAGTTGAAAGTTAAAATATAAAATAAAATGTAAACCTACAGAAAAATATTTGCTTACTCTTTTCATTTTTCATTTTACATTTACTTGTATATTTTAATGTTAAAACATAGGGCAAGTTTAGAACTAAAGAACTAGCATTCAGAAAATTCAGTTGATTGTTTTCATTCAAAAACAGAGACACATGCCTATTGCCTACCTTATTAGCCAATTTCTCTGTGATTTTGGCCTTCAACTTTGTTGTGAGTATATATTTCTATATAATCATTGTCACAATGCTTCCACTGTTTCAAAAAGATGATAAAATGAGACTAATGTGTTGGCATCAGTTATTTCCAGTGCAGAACGAAGTAGCTCACCAAATCAATAAGTTAGTGAAACATGTTGATACTAGAGAAGTAAAATTTATTTGAAATCAAACAAGTTTGCAAGAACCGTATTTTTATTGTTAACAAAGAACTTAATGTGTTTCAATCAGCAGTGATCAGTGAACTCGTATTTTAATCACTTTCTTACACATCTTTTAACCAAAGGATTTGTAAGTAATAGCACATTATTGACATATTAAATTTATATTTACATTTGATCTGCATTTTGCTACTATAACTACAATTACAAGAAATTTGTCTATTCAGTTTAAGGACCCAAAATTAAAAAGAAAACAAAACAAAAAGATTATCGAGTTTTGTGAGGATATTCTTAGTATTTATCTTATTGGAATAATTATCTTTTGTGAATGTTTTGACTCATATGAACAATTATTTCTCTTGAGTCACTTTTTTTCAAAAGCCATTACATTTGACTTTTCACTATTGAATTATGACTTCTCTCATTGAATTCATTTTGTGTCTTAATCTTGATATCATTCAAAATGATTTGTACATTTCTATACATTTGTAAAATTTTCATCTGTTTACAGTGACTTTCTTGACAAATATTTAGAACATGTGACATTAAAGATTTTATTCTTGGATGAATGTATTTTCTTACTCTTGTAAAATAACAAGAGTGTCTTGATTATCTTGCAATATCTTGTTTAAAAATGTTACTTCAAAATGTTATAAAATCTTATCTATGTTATTAAACTTTTTTTGCACATATGTTAAATGAATAAACTTTTAAAATCTTATTTAAAATTTATTTTGTAATTAAAAGCAGCAAGATTTTTCCTTTGTCTTTAGCTTAATTGAATTGCAAAATACTCCAGTTAATACAATATCCTCACCCACAAAACTATAATATAGTTTCAACTAGAATTTATTGTATTCATTGGCTACAGACACACACCACATATCATCATCTATTTTAAAATGCTGATGACAAAAAAAGAATCAATAACAATAGAACCTGGTCCTTTTGCACCACCAGACAAGAGTCTTCCTAGTCGAAATATGACTGCTCTTTCATATTCCTGGACAACCTGTAAAAATTAAAAAGATTCACAGGTAAATACACACAAGAAAACATTCATAATTTAACTATAATTCATACAAATGGGATTTTTCAGAAAATGGACATACAATATGACTGGAGTATTGTTTAACATTATACATTATATAAAATGTAAAGAGGTTTATACATTATATATAATGTTCTTTTGTATATTCACAAAGACATTCAGTTAGACTGTGATAAAATCATGAACCTTTATGCAAATAAGAATCCACGAAAACTGACTTTAGTAAATCCTCTTTCATAAATGTTATATAATCACATTTTGAATTTAAAAGTTTGAATTTTAGACCTTAGCTATCATGTTTTTTTGTGGAGGTCTCTAATTTATACTTTTTTTTATTGAAACATGATATTCTTTCATTTTTTTTTTTTTTTAATTCAATAATTTGCAATAACCTTTAAACCTCTCTTTCTATCCCACTTTTTATACTAACTTGATCTACTCAACCAGTTTTATCACTGTTGAATTAAGGAATCAACCTTATGTCAAACGGTTTATCTGGCATCTTGTGAAGATTTTGCTGAAATAACTTGTGAGAAAATAGCAACAGGAAAAAAAATCTGCAAAGCCCAGGTTTGTAATTCCAAAGATTTTCTAAGTGTAAAGATGATAATGCCAGAGGCATAAATCAGAAGGTGCAAAAAATTGTATCTACAACTCACAACTGCCTTCTTTACTCAATAAGAATCAAGAATCATCCTGTTGTCCAAAGTAGCATTCTTTTATTGGGGTAAGAAAAGCTGTGATTGGTGGTTGAGACTGGTAGGCAAGTGCAAACAATTACCATATTTCAAAGGCCTTACAAAAATATACTTTGATGTTTTTAGTTTTCTTTTTTGACAGATAGCACAAAGAACATAAACTCTTTTTCCAGGTAATGCTTAGTTTTCTCTTTTATTGCCATAATTTTACCCAAATATTTCAGCAGGATTTAGAAGCAGGATTCATTTAACTTTATATCTTTGTTTAACAAACAAACTGATGTTGGCTTTTATATAATATGAATATTAATTAAATTATTTTTTTTACAAGAAGACTCAAATACAATAGGGAAAAATAGTTCACATACAAAAGATATTGATTTCAGAGCAATCTATATCTCTTCTAAAAGATGCTTTCCAGAATCTATGAAATGGTGATTTTCTTTAACCAGATCACAGTTTATGAGGGATCCAACAAACAGCATCAGAACAAACTTTGGCATTTCTAAGAAACATCATGAGACGGTATTTATTAAGGTTGAATTTTGTTTGAAACAAGTTTTACCAAAACACTTGCTAACTGAGATATTTAAATGTAAAGGCAATAATTAGATAATCCTTTCTTTTAAACAAGTGAAATTTTAAGAATTAAAAAGAATAAGATGAGATACAAACTCACCTTGAAGCAAAGCAT